GTGCGGGCGAAGACCGTGGCCACGGGCGGCTCTGGGGGGCGAGAGCAAAGGGGTGGTGGGAGAGCTGGTGGGGCACCGCTTGGCCCCAGCGTGGGGGGCTTTGGGGTGGCTGTGCCGTGGCTGGGTTGCTCTCACCTCGCCTCTCCAGCGCTGCCTTCCCGTACTGCAGTAGCAACTCCATGTCATCAACACAGGTATCGTTGAAGAGGACTTCCACCAGCTCGCTGAAGGCAGTGTAGTTCTGGAGAAAAGCCTGGACATACCGTGACAGATCAGTGTCTTGGGAGAGAAGCCAGCTGCCATTGCTTACGCTGAAGCTGAGGAAGTCCTGGCCGTTGTAACCCACATAGCCGAAGATCCGAGAGGTCATGTTGGAGTAGAGCTGGCAGCCCGCCGTGCATTGGACCACGAAGGGGTCTGGAGAGGCAGGGAGAAAAGAGAGGTTGCACAAGGGGCTGGGACTGCCTTCTTGCGGAGGTGCTCAGCATCTCCTGTGCAGTGCCGGCACTGCCGGGTCCTTCCCCACCTCCCAGATGCTGTTCGGAGAAGGCACACCAAAAAGACCAGATACTCACAGGGCACCTCCTTCTGCATGGCACCTTCATTGACCAGGTAGCTGAACTGCTGCAAATAGATCTTGATCATGTTCTGAATGGTGTCCCAGTCACTGCGTGGCAGGGCTGGGCGCACCCAGGGCTGGTGGAAACGAATGGTCCAGGTGTGCTTATCAAGAGAACCCAGCTCGATGTCCTCCAGCAGGCCCAGCCCCTCTGTGTCCACGAAGGAGTTGTTTTGGAAGGTGGAGGTCTGGAGCAGCCGCACGGTGAAGGACCCTGGAGACAGGGGTCAAGCAGGGGAGAAGGGAGCGGGAGGGGAGGGCTGGGGAAAGCTGAGGGACGAGTCCTCGGGGTTGCAGGGACCTGCGGGCCCTCCATGGCTCCCTGCACCGTTGGCAGCCCCAGCTCCCACCCCCTGCACCCACCCGGGGCAGCCGCATCCCCGCCAGGGAGGAGATGTGGAGCCAGGGGGCAAGCAGAGGTGATGAAGCAAGTGCCCAAGGTGGGTGGGGAGCAGGAAGCCCCTCGCTCTTGAGGTCCCATGGGCATGGGAGCAGGTGAGGACGAGCCGGGGGCTCCCACTTACCGTCCAGGTCTGCCCATGTCCCAGAGAGGTGGAAGAGGAGGAGGAGGAGAAGGACACAGTGGCACGGGGGCCGCATGGTGCCGGCAGTGAGGTCTCGAGCAGGCAGCAGCGATGCGGTGGCGGGAGGAGGACGGGGCCGTGGGCGCGGTGGCCGCACACTTCTCCCG